AGAAATGCTGAGCTTGAGGGGCCTGGAGGATGTTATGCAGAAATATTGAGGGGGTGACTGGTCATGTTTCTGGAGCTCAGGAGAAAGGTAAGCTGGGATGAGAGATCCATTTAGGAGCCAGTCAGGTAGATGCCAGAGGAGGCAATGGAAGTAGACAGTGCAGCTTGGGAGCAGACTAGAGGCTGGACTTTGGGGAGCCTCAGTTTTTGATTAACAAATGATAGGTGAGGAGCTGCTGAGAAGGGGCATCAGGAGAGGTAGGAGGACAACCAGGAGAGAGCTCAAGAGAGATGGGGGAGCTGACCATGTCCCATCACTGCTGGAGAGGTGGGGGCTGAGGCAGGAGCAAGTGGAAACCCTGGAGGCAGCCCATTTGAGGAACTGGGCTATGAAGGGAGGAGGGCAACGGTTGGTAGCTGGAGGAGGAAGCGGAACCAAAGGAGGCTTTGTTTGGTCAAGGGCGAGAGACTTGAACATGTTTTAAATGTCAAATGGCAAGGAGCTGGGAGAGGGTGGGGTCTGTGTTAGGCAAGAGATGAGGGACTGACAGTTGAGGTACCTGAGGGGAGGGTTAAAATCCAAAGGGAGTGACCTTGGACAAGCCCTGGATACCTCCTCTGCTGGAATAGGAGAGAAGGTTGGGAGCAGGCAGTGGTTCTTTAGGTCTGATAGCTGACTTTAAGGGATCTTTTTTCTGAAAGGTTCTACTTTTCTCTGTGAAGCAGAGCAAGGCTGCATTACCAGGAGCAAGGAGCAGAGGGGTGGAGAGATAGTTGAGGAAAAAGAATTTTTTGAGGGGCAGATTGTGGCCAATAATATGAGGCTTTCTAGAAGGTATTTCTGTCAACCTCTGCTCAAATGTCACCTAAGAGAGGGCTTCCTTGATCCTCTAATCCCTTGTCTACAATAGCACCCCTTTTCTGCTTTATATTTCTTCCAAGAGTTGCCACTACCTGAAATTGTATGCCTGATGTATTTGATTCTTGTTGATTTCCTTTCTCCCTACTTGGCAAGTAAGTTTGGGGAGGGCAGGGCTTTGTCCTGTTCACACTATGTCCCTGGGAACTAGCACCAGGTCCTGGCGTTGAGAGTGGGTGCTCCACACCCATTTGTTGAATGTGTGAGTGTATCCCTGGGAGACCCAACTCTGGGCAGCAAAGCCACTCAACAGGGTGAGGGCCAATGTTTACACTCCCCTGGACTCCTGGGTGCCTCTTGGATCTCTGCCCTTCTGTCTTCTTAGGTGTTGGATTGCTTCCTGTGCTCCGCTCCAATCTGGTTATTCCTGGTGCTGGAGTTCATCTTTGGTGTTGAAGACAGAGACAGGTGTTGGAGGTCGAGCATACGCAGGCTTTGGGACTGAAAAACCTAGACTTGAGAGTTGTGTGCCACTGGGCAAGGCCCACCATACTTCCCAGCCAATATGTGGTGCTAGAAGAGTTGAGGTGACCTGTGTCAACCTTATCCAAAGCTTCCCAAGCTCCATCTGTTGAGCCAGGGGTTGCTTCCATGTGTTATGCATTCACATATATTCACAGATACATGTGCAGTAGTATACTTGTCTCTGAAAGGGAAGATGGAGGATAAAGTCACTTACTCATCTCTAGAGTTGGGGGAAACCATTTCTCTGCTCCTTGGAGCATCACACATAGATCGCTTCCTCCAAGCTCCCCATGGCTCCCTGCTCATCCTCATAGCTGAATCTCCAAAGAGTTTGTGTAAATTGAGTCTTTTTTTTCCTCACTGATTTTCATGGTTTTTTCAGGGATGCTGCCTCGTCTCAATTTTTGCTTCTTGTCAAGCACTCCCAACCCCTCTGGCTTTGACTACACAGATTTGCTGTCCTTGACACTGCCTGGGGCTCACAAACATGCTGAGTGCTCATGAATCTGGTATGTGTGTGGGGCAGGGCAGGGCGCATGGAGTGGGGAAGACTACAGCACCCTAGGGCATCTAGGAATGTCCATACTGGAGGAGAGCAGACCCAGGAGGATTTGGCCCCCAACTCCCAAGTGACAGTAGAAGCCTGTGTAGCCCCAGAGAGCAGACTGCACACTCATGGGGAAGGCCACAAGCTGGCAGCTTTTAGTTCAGTGACTAAGGAGTCTTTTTAAATTTTTATTTTATTTAATTTTTTTTATATAAAAAGGGTTTTAATTTTTATTTTATTTAATTTTTAAATCTTTTTCTTTTTTTGCCACACTATGTGGCATGGGGGAGCCTAGATCCCTGGCCATGGATTGAACCTGTGCCCTCTGCACTGGGAGTGAGGAGTCTTAAGCAGTGGACTGCTAGGGAAGTAAGAATTAAGATGATCCAGAGATGGTTGGGACTACTACATTTTGAAAAGCAGTAAGTTCTTGGTTGCTTGAGATGTTCGAGCTCTGGGGGCAGAAGTTCCCACGTAGTGAAGGAGCTGGGCCAGGCAACTCTGGGTTCTGGGAACCGGAGATCAGCATGACCTGCCTCAAGGGAGCCCCGCAGGCTGAGGAAGAGGAAAGCCCCTCCCCTCCCCTCCTTAACAATTTGTTTTTCTGAACTGCTGCCCCATTTTGTGAACAGATTTGTTTGTTCCCCATGGGAGAGCTGTGGCTGCAGCAGGCTGGCTAAGCGGGTTTCTTGTTTCTGGAACACTCACCCTCTGAGATTTGGCTCAACTGACTGACAACTTGGGCAGGCTCATTAAAAGGGGGGGGGGGGCAGAAAGTGCCTCTGTCAGAATCCCAGTCGGCCTAACTCCTGTGGAATGGTTCTCTTTTTCTTTGGAACGTACCATTCCCACCCATAAAGAAGGACTGTAGTGTGGCAATGTTGAGATCTCTTTCAGATCTACTCCTCAGAGCAAAACTTCCTCCAGTTCTGAGGAGGCAGAGAAGAGAGTGGTGCCCATGCTTGCTCTTCCCATTCCCTCCTGTTTATTCCTGGTGATGTCTACAGTGGCTGCAAATGTGAGGACGAGTGGCGTGTGGCTCTGGAGCCCGGGTCAGTGAATTATCTCCACGACTTGCTCTTTTCCTGCTTCCTTCCTTTTGGAGAAAAACAAGCTGGCCTAGACCTCAGAGTTCTGTAGGCGTCCCAACTTGGGTCATCTGAGGGCTGATCTGAGATGTCCAGTTAAGTAACCCAGAGAAGCTAGCCAAGAAGCCATGACCCCTTGAAAGAGGATGCCCCAGCCCTTTTGATGGGGCAACCGCTCCACTAGTGGGGCCAGGTACCAAGAGCTATCCTCACTCCAGCCAGGCTCCTGGGGTGATCAAGGGCATGCAGAAGAAATCTGGGTGTGGGGAGGCAGAGCTTGCTTAGGCTGTGTATGTGCTGTGCGTGTGCTATGTGTCAGCATGAGGTCAAATCTTCCGTCCTGGGTGGGGATGCTGCGGGCCAGGGGGATACTCACAGCTAATGAGGAGAAACATGAGGCACAGATGAACCAGATCAGCCAAGGGTTTCTTCCAATCCTGAGATTCTGTGAGTCTGACTTTGTGATTTAAGCCTCTACTTGTCCCCTGTCAATTGAACTTGAGAGGGATGGAGAGAAAGGACACTGTCATGGTAATCAAAAAGTCAGCAAGGAAAACCCAGGAGCACAGATGGAAAAATAAGAAAAACACAGGAGGAGGGGATTATTTCCAGGGATATCAAACAAGAGGGAAGCAAGAAAGAGGTCAGGGACACCAGAAGGAAGGTTCTCTTTTACTGATCGGCAGAGATTATGTTGCTCACTTGTAACCTTTTGGACATTGTGTTCACAAGGACAGTGAAAGTCTTAAAACGCCCTTGGGTTGAACTCAGAATAATGAGTTCAGAGGCAGAGGGGGAAAGGCTCAAGGGGGAGATTACACAGGACTCTACAGATGGCCTGGAAGGAGAGGAACCCTAGAAAAACCACAGATGATTGGCTGGAGGCCAAAGTAGCCAAGCCCAGTCCCCCTTTGGGAGAAGCAGCTTGGTCTAGACAAGGATTCCTGGGGCTAAATTTTCAAATGTCCTGTGTTCTTCTTCAAGGTTGTTTTCTGGAAGATACAACATAGATTAATTGAGTGGGTGAGGAATATGAAAAGAAATTTTACAAGGATGAAAAGCTGGGCCCATCCTTGCACAGACCTTGTCATGAACGGCACACCCTAGGATTGTGCAGTGTACAGTTTATATATCTGAACACAGCAACCCCACCCTGACAGGTTTCAGTATGGGGAAGAGAACGTGGGGCTCTAACCCGAGTCAGAGTACTACTAACCTACAAGCAAAGTGCAAGTCAGTTCACACCTCTGAGCCTCAGTTTTCTCATCTGTAAGATGGGAATAATTGCTCTGTATTAGGTACCTGAAGTGATCTATGAATTCACTCCTGTAGCACCTGACTTATGGGAGATACACAATAATATCTATCCCCTCCCACCCCCTATTTCGTGAGAAAGAATGTGGAAATGAGCAGTGAATCTGGACTTTAGCCAGAGTAGGCAGGCTACGGTCATCTGCGAAAACAAAAAAAAAAATCTGCAGTACTGTTTACCACACAGGAAGTGCTAATGGTGGCCTTTCTTCTTTGACTCCCCAGATTGAGTGAGACTTGGATTGGTTCTTCATGAGATGGCCTATCTCTGGCCAATGTTTAAACTAGCCAGATGCTTTGTATGCTTTCTCCCTCCTTTCTGGTCTTCTTTGTCAGCTCCTTTTTCATTCTGTTCATCCAGCACACTGTTTATCAAGTATACTCTGTATCTGGAGCCCCCTGCTGAGCTCCATAGTGACCCAGGGATGCCCCACACATGATCTGTACTCCTGCGAAACTCACAGCCCACGGGTGGGGTCAGGTCAGGGGTCCTGGGTGTGAGTCACAGGTCTGTTGAGAACCAGCTGTGTGACTAAGCTTCTCATAGTTGACTTGTTCTCAACTCTGAAGTAGGGATTATGATGGTGCCTACCTTATAGAATTTCCTGAGAGTTAAATAAAAGAATTTGCATGCAGCATTAGCTCAGTATCTGAACACATCAAATACTTGGTGAATGCCAAATGTTAGTTTTATTAAATTTTTTGGGTCTTAGATAAAAAGCAAGGCAGAATACGGGTAAGGCCCTGGTAGGGCTGGAGAGGTCCAGAGGAGGCAGAGATGTCAGCTGGTGGAAGGTTAGAGAGGTTCCTGGAGATGTCATTCAGGCTGGATGCCAAGGTACAGACAGAACATCAATGGGCTTTCTTGGGTAGAGAGTGTACGAAGAGCGAGGAATGGTATATAACAAATGTGCAGAGATGATGCCACACCCCAAGAGGTCAACTTAGTTTCAAGCACCCAGACTCACAAGGCTACCAGAGGCACAGTTAGCATCCATCTCCTCCAAGGATATGGGCAGCCAGCCAGCAAGGCGACATCAGGCATTCCTCACAACCTCCACATAGCCATCAGCCACTGTCTGCTCCTCAGGGGCCAGCCAAAGGCAGGGAGACAAGCTCCCCATCCTGGATGTGGGTCAAGCTTGTTTTCGAATCTCCAAGTCCCACCGAATCCCTGTGTCCACTAGCAGTCCCAAGTGTCCTGCAAGGTCATGCACATTACCAGAGTCACCACACTCAGAGAAGCCCAAAGCATGGTGCTCTCATAGGTGTTCATGGTTCTTCCAAGTCCAGATGTTATTTACCTCCCAGCGTTCATTTGGCCATAGCTATGTTGCCTAGCAACACAGTTGATGTTCTACAGTTGTCAAGTTTCCAGGGGAATAGGTTGGAGAGTGTAACTCAAGGGTCAGTTTACCTTGTAACATGAGACAAGGTTTGGTGAATGCTTTTAGTTGGAAGTACCTCAGGGCATGTTCAGACCATACTCTTTAGTGCAATTTAGGGGCATTGAGGAGGAGGATGTGTGCAGGAGATGCAGGGATGAGGCTTGGAGGAAGATATTGGGAATGGGAGGGAAGGTTTGAAGGAGAGGAAACTTCTGGTCAGTCAAGGGTTTCCCTTACCCAGGATCCACATGACCTCAACTAATGACATGCCTGCCTGTGTGTTCATTAATGCCACAGTGACTTGCCCAAGTTCACACATCTGAAAAATAGGGGAAATCAATGTTCAAACCCAGGTCTGTCAGGCTCCAAAGATTGCTGTGAGTTCTTGGGAAGCAACCTCAGATCTCTGTACTTAGGCTCCTCTTACTTCCTTGGTGGCTCAGATGGTAAAGCATCTGCCTACAATGCGGGAGACTTGGGCTCGATCCTTAGGTCAGGAAGATCCCCTGGAGAAGAAAATGGCAACTCACTCCAGTATTCTTGCCTGGAAAATCCCTTGGACAGAGTAGCCTGGTGGGATATGGTCCATGGGGTCACAAAGAGTTGGACATGACTGAACAGCTTCACTTTTCCCTGAAATGGGAAGAATGGTTTTGAGGATGTGACGAGTCAAGCTATAAGGTGCTTAGAAGTAGGCCTGGCACACAGCAGGTTTTTAATGAAGATTAGTTGTTACTATACTGTCTCCCAAACTATGGCGCTAGCCCATGGGCAGGCCACTGGAGAGTTTAAAGTGTACTTCTAAAAGGCTCCTTCAAAATAGGGGAAAATGGATACATAATGGTATACCCCTGAAATGGAATACTAGGCAGTTGTTGGAAACACTGTAAAAAAAGTGAAGTTGTTCAGTCATGTGCGACTCTTTGCGATCCCATAGACCATAGCCCACCACGCTCCTCCATCCATGGGATTTTCCAGGCAAGAGTACTGGAGTGGGTTGCCATTTCCTTCTCCAGAGGATCTTTCCAACCCAGGGATCAAACCCGGGTCTCCCTCATTGTAGGCAGATGCTTTACCGTCTGAGCCATCAAATATCTTAAATAAAAAAGGCATGTCCTGGAAGGGTATTTATCATATACCGCACTCACATAAGGCAGCTCTGGATGAGTAGATGAGGCTAGAAAAACCTGCAAAGTTGGTCTCTCCAGCCTCGTCTCCGGCCACTGCCCCATCTAGTGGCAGCTCTTGGGACACACCACACTTTTTCCTCCGCTAGACACTGCTTGCTGCTCCCTCTGCCTTAAAGTGCTCTCCCTTACTCTTCACACGGTCAGCTCCAGTATCGTCCTTCAGTGTGACCTTGAATGTCCTCTCCAACAAGAGTCCTTCCTGGGTCCCTCTATCTCAGCAGGGTCTCCCTGTTAAGTCTCTCTCCCAGCACTTCATTTATTTCCTTGTTAGTACTTACTACTGTCTGCAGTCATTTTACTCTGTTGACTTGTTTTATTATCACTCTTCCCCCCCTAGAGTGAATGGGAAGGACTATGTTTATCTCATTCCCCTGAGACATCTAGTCAGTGCTCTGCACATAGTGTGTCCTCAATTAAAGAAAAAAAGTGCCCCATGATTTAGGGGTGGAATCGAGGTGATTTTGAGGTGTATCGAACAACAAGATGGAATTATCTTTCTAATGAAAACTTTGATGCTGAAAGAAACCTCTTTTTGGCTGCAGTGGAGATAGGTTGGTGGCAGGTACCAGATGGAAGTAAGTTGACCAGTTTGGGGTTGCTGTGCCCACCCAGGGGCAATAAAGCATGGCTTGAACTTAGAGCAGTGGCTCTGGGGCTGGAGAGAGGACTGAGCCCAGAGATGTGTAGGACTGTGACTGGCTGGGAGGGAAGGGCTGCAGGAGGAGGGAGGGATGCTCCCTGCACCTTCCCGGGCAGCCTCCTCTCTTCCCTGATGGCCTGGCTGGTGATGCTGGGTTCCTGAGTGGCCTGGCCTTCTGTTGCTATTTCAGATCCAGCAGACCGGGAGTTTGGACAAGGTGGTGTCCTGGACTCACCAGTTCCCTTATGCCCACCAACTCTGGCTTGGACAATTTCTTGGCTTCCTGAACATCTATGATCCTGACTATGCCAAAGCTGTATACAGTCGAGGAGGTGAGGACTCCTGGGAGAATTTGGAGCTTCCTGAGAGCAGAGGGCTCGGGATGCCATGTGGGGAGGGGTCCTGGACTTGCACCCTAAGTCTGGGCAGGTGAGGTCCCTACCCTATAAATCACCAAACATCCTCCAGGAATCCCCCAGTCCCCATTTGACCAAGCTTCTCTTTCTGTTATAGACCCTAAGGCCCCAGATTTGTATGACTTCTTCCTCCAGTGGATTGGTGAGTAGGCACTTGCTCTCCCTGTCCTTGGTGCTGGGTGACCAGGAGCCTTCCCTGCCTGATCCCTCCTTGCCCAGTGTCCACTCTTTTGGTTACTCCATCCACCAGACCACCTGGCCCCACGTTGCCACCCTAAGCTCAGCTTCTCAGTAGGAAATAGCGGAGGAGGCAGGAGACCTCCGGGCTGCCTGAGAGGTGGAGCTCAGGCAACTTGTCCTGCCAGGGTGTCCTCTTTCCTGGGCAGGCAGGGCAAAGGCTCTGGGCAATGTTTTAGTGTGAGGAACAGCTTCCTGGAGGAGGTGGCACTACAGGTGATCGGAGGAGATTTTACTGGTGGTGCTGGCTGGGGCAAGGGCCTGTGGAAAGGAGTGTGGAAAGACAGGACCCAGGCTGATGTCACCAGAGACTGTGAGGCTGGGTGACTGAAAGGCAGACCTGGGTTTGGATGCCAGGCTGATCAGGAGGATGGGAGTAGGGTTAGGCAGGGTGGCATGTGCTTGATCCCAGGTTGCCAGGGGTGGGGCAGGATTGTGTGAACTGACTAGCCGTCCCTCTCCCATGCCTTCCCCAGGGAAAGGCTTGCTGGTTCTCCAAGGGCCTAAGTGGTTCCAGCATCGCAAGCTGCTCACACCTGGCTTCCACTATGATGTGCTGAAGCCCTACGTGGCCGTGTTCGCCGAGTCCGCACGTGTCATGCTGGTGAGCTCCCTGTGCCAGGATCCTGGAGCCTGTGCTGCAGGGCCAGCCCCCCGCCCCCAGTTTCTCCTGGGAGAGGGCAGTGAGGGGAATTGCTGAGGCCCGAGGCCCTGTTCTGCCTGCAGCAGCAGTGTGAGCCTTGCTCTGCCTGATATCTACTGCCGGCTGTGTGCAGACAACGTGCTGACGCCCCAAGCCGCCTGACAGCCCCGGCTTTTGTCTCCACCAGGAGACCAGCACTCCCTCTTCCCACATCAAATGGCCTCTGTGAGACCCCAGGAAAGCTCCTACTGTAGCAGACTGGAGGGCTGCCTATATTTGAGAATATTAGGAAGACCTTTCATATCTAAAATGTGTCTCCTCATCCTCGGCCTAGCACAACTGCCTGAAATAATGTCAAGAGTAACTCTGAAATGGATGCTGGGGGTCAGGGGTCAGGAGTTAGGCTCAGAGCCTCACAGCTGGATAATCCGCGAGATACCCTGGGCTAGCCTTTCTGCTTGCAAGAGACTACCCCCTCCCGACCCCCCAGCATTACTGTAGGCCTGACGCACACAGACTGTGCTGGGGAGCTTACCACCTCTTGGCCCTCCTCTTCCCTCATACACAGCTGCCCTGGCTGTGTGTGCTGGGTGAGGCTGCCTGTGGGTTCTGCCCTCTGAGCCTGAACCACCCCCACTCCCCACTCTTAAGAGTAGGATGGAGGCCAAGCCAGGGACACGGAGTCTGTGTGGGGAGGACAGTGGTGGGTCCCGCAGCCTGGCGGTCTCCCTCCCCACATCACCCTCCATCTCTGGGCTCTAGGACAAATGGGAGAAAAAGGCTCGTGAGCAAAAGAGCTTTGATATCTTCTGTGATGTGGGCCACATGGCGCTAGACTCGCTTATGAAATGCACCTTTGGCAAAGGAACCAGCGGCCTGAACAACAGGTCAGGGGGCCCTGGGGGCTGACCATGGTCTCTACCTGGGTCGACTCAGAGGGCGTATGAGGTGACAGGACTCCTGGGCCCTGGTCTGAGGGGGGGGGGGTCCTGCTCTAGGGAGCCCCAGCTCAGGTGGAGCTGGGCCTTTCCCATGGCTTTCATGGGAGGCTTGATGGGGCTTCATGGGAGGTGGGGAGAGGACGGGCAGAGAGTGCAGTGCTTGGAACTGGATTCCACTTGCTCGGGGGCTCTGCTGCGGGTCAGGGTTTCAGCATCTCTCCCTCCCTCCACTGTGCAGGGACAGTAACTACTACCTGGCGGTCAGTGAACTCACACTGCTGATGCAGCAGCGCATCGATTCCTTCCAGTACCACAATGACTTCATCTACTTTCTCACCCCACATGGCCGCCGCTTCCTGCGGGCCTGCCAGGTGGCCCATGACCACACAGGTGGGCCTTTCCTGCACCGCCCGCCCACAGGAGGCCTAGGTTCTGGTCTAGCTCCTCCTGGCCCCTGGGGGACCCCTCCCATTGCAAGACCTCTGTTCCCCTATTGGGCAGAGGGTGGGTCCCCAGGCAGTGACACCCTGTGCTCCCGGCCCAGACCAGGTCATCAGGGAACGGAAAGCAGCTCTCCAGAACGAGAAAGAGCGGGAG